GGCACTGGGGCTTGGACCAAGGGTCTCATATTCTTTCTTGGCTTCTTTCCTCAAGGCTGGTGCTCTACCTCTTGAAACATACCTCCACATCCCACCATCATTTTTAAGTCACTTGGCAAGTGAATTTGATATGTGTTTGTTCATTAAATTGATACCCAAATTAGTCTCTCAGAAATATTATTGAGACAGGGAAACTGAGATATGGATTTCATACAGACTTAGGCTATAATTCTCATATGATTGTTAAATTTCTTGGGTGAAATAATGCTCTTGTAGTTATATGGGAGAACATGTTAATCCTTAGGAGATAATGTTGTTATAAGTGGATGAAATTCTTAAAACTATACTGTAGTTAATCAAAAGAGAAACAATGCTGACAGATAAAACAATATGTTTGCCAGGCGCTGGTGGCTCATGCCTGTAATCCTAGCTATTCAGGAAGCTAAGATCTGAGGATCGCGGTTCAAAGCCAGCCTGGGCAGGAAAGTCCATGAAACTCTTCTCTCCGATAAACCACCAGAAAACCGGAAGTGGCACTGTAGCTCAAGTGGTAGAGTGCTCGCCTTCAGCTGAAGAGCTGAGGGACAGTGCCCAGGCCCAGAGTTCAAGCCCCATGACTGACAAAAAATAAAATAAAATGAAATAAATAAAATAATATGTTTTTGGGAATCTAGGTGAATCCTCATTTTATCCCAACCTTGTGTATTTCCAAAATGAAAACTCAAAGGAATCAATTCTTCATTGTAGAGTTTTACATGTGGACATACTTAACAGTAATTGCTTAAAACAACTCTTGAGAAGCTTCTCACTGGTGGTTCACACCTGAAATCCAAACTACTCAGGAGCCTGAGATCTGAGGATCATTGTTCAAAGCCAAGGCAGCGAGGAAAAGTCTGTGAGACTTGTATCTCCAATCGACTATTAAAAAGCCAAAAGTGGATCTGTGGCTCAAGTGGCAGAGCACTAGCCCTACCAGTATACACATGCACACACACACACACACACACGCAATTACACACATACACACACACAACCAAAAATGAGAAATTCTGTATTCTCACCAGAGATGGTGTAAACCGAGGCAACAAGTATAGAGTTAAGCAATACGTGTTTTGAGAAGTCCTGTAGGTAATTCTGAGACCACTTCTCTAGTGGAATGAACCTGCAGGTTGTTTATAGGGCTAGCACACTAATTAAATTCTTTTTGTTTATATTTGAGTTAAATGTAGGACAGGTTTTAAATAAGGAAAACACATCCCAGATATTTTAGGACCTATTTTGTAGTAAAGTTTCAAGATAAATTGGTGCAAAATTTCAAAACCAGAACAGTTTCAGCTAGAAAGAGAGATTATTCTCCAAGTCAACCTAGCAGACTTAAAGTTTGTGTAACTAGGTAAAGGCAGCATGTGGGAATGAAACAACCTGTCCATATTCTGAACACAACATACAAATATCCTAAGCAAAAGCTTAGCAGAATGAACCTCCAAGCATACACAAAAGTTCATCTTTCTTTTGTAACTGTCACATTATCCAGGAGAGAAAACTGGCTTAAAATGAGAAATCTAGAGATGGAAGTAAAATGAAAGAGGTATTCTCAACCCTAGAATACATTCAATTCTTCACTTTGTTTGCTAATTGGATTGTATGTGTAGTGTGTGTGTGTGTGTGTGTGTGTGTGTGTGTGTGTGTGTGTGTGTGTGTTGTGTGTGTGTGCTGGTACCAGGGCTTGACCTCAGGGTCTCCCAGTCTCACTTGCCTACTTGCCTTGCTTGTTTATGGCTGGTGCTCTACCACTTGAGCCATACCTACAACAGGTTGTGGGTTTTTTTGCTATTTGAGTGGATGGAATCTCACCAACTTTCCTGCTTGTCTACCCTCTAGGTTTCAGCGTCCTTAGTATCTAGGATTACAAGTGTGAGACACTGGCACCTGGCTGTACTTGTAATTTTTGGAAGCTTACAATGATAAGCCCTTACGATTGTTCTACATTTTGATTACAAGATAAAGTTAAACGTTTTGAGATTTATGAATGTCAGTCACTGAATTATCAATTAAATAACCAGAGCCCTGAGCATTTTCATTACAGGCAAATATATTTGTGATTTTAAGATGAATATTTGGAATGTAAGGCACATTACTTAATCTAGTAGAGAAAGAAAAGAGGGAAGGAAATATAATGGAAGGAGGGGAGAAGAATGTGGAAAGGATAGAGGAAAAGAAGAGACAGGACATGAAGAAACAAAGATCAGGGAAACACTGGGAAACTTTTTCATAGAGAAATTTTGGCAATATTCTTTGTAAAATTGGAGCAACTCAAAGTCCAATTTGCCATTTTTACTAGACTTTGTATTGGGTGTTCATGCCAACACTAGAAAATGTCCATAAATTTAACGATTACTTATTACCAGATTTGCAGATAATATCAAAACACCACTAAACAAGCCTTCATATGTAAAAATGCAGCATGATGGTTAAATGTAAGATAATTCTCATTTAAAAATTCATTAGCAAGCCCAAAGTGCTAAGTTTAAACTCCAGTACTGGCAAAAATTTGCCAGGCCTAGGTGGCTGTCACCTGTAATACTCAGGAGGCTGAGCTCTGAGGATCACAGTTCAAAGCCAGCCCAGGCAGAAAAATCTATGAGAATCTTATTTACAATTAACCACCAAAAAGCGGGAGTTAAGGTTGTGGTTCAAGTGGCATAGCACTAGCCTTGAGTGAAAAAAGCTAAAGTACAGTGGCTAGACCTAAGTGCAAGGACCATGCTGACTTGCAACATTTCCGCAGATTTCAAACACAAGAGCAGGAGTGTTTGAGAGTAACTTTGGATAAATATAATAAATGTTGGACAAGATGTGAACGTACAAAGATAAAAAATGAGAAAAAAATTAAAAAGTTAAAACATTAAATAGACATTTCAAGTTAATGAATAGGAAGGCTAGATGTCCCAGTTAATTCTCTTATAATTGAACCATAGATTCAGAGAAAATGCAATCCAGATATGTTGCAACCAATTTCCTAAGGAACTTGCCACGCAGTTTCTTATACTTACAAGGGTGAACAAGAGACAATGAAAGTATGTTATAAGTGATGGATAAAATTTACCACTTTACTCTAGCAGACATTAAGTTATGTTGTGAAACATTAAAAAATTAAGTATCATCAGCCCAGGAATAGACAAATTTAACAAATTTACTGTGAGCATAGGAAGCTCAGAAACAGATTCATACATATGAACCAAAATTTCTCCAGGTGGCTATTAAATGATCCCTGGGAGTTTAAGATGGCTCATAATTGAGGAAACTTGACATGGGGATTCCAGAAGATCATAAAAATTTATTTAAATGACATAATTTTTAAATGCATACTACATGTTTCACTTCCAAAAAGAAACTGGTCTGGGAGTCAGTCCTAGGGAACATAAAGCTCCAATTCACTTCAGGGCAACAGCTTTGCAGTGAGCACAAGAAGCCACAAGAAGGCTAGTGAGCAAAACTGCGGAGTGCCAACAACAGGAGATCTCATGCTCATTGGTCATTGAACATGAGGGGGTGGGATAGAAGAGAGCAAAAGCAGCTCATTAGCTTTTCTAGGAAATCGGAAAGAGCTGGCCTGATAAGAAATTAGATTTTCTTTTGTGTGCCCATCCTGAGGCTTGAACTCAGCCCAACCACTTGAGCCATAGCTCCACTTCTGGCTTTTTTTTTTTTTTTTTGGTGGTGGTGGTTAATTGGAGATGAGTCTCACAGATTTTCCTGTCATAGCTGGCTTCAAACCACGGTCTTCAGATCTCAGTCTTCTGAGTATCTAGGATTACAGGCATGAGCTACTGGTGCATGGCTAAGAAGTTAGAGCTTATCTAAAATCCACTGATTGAGTGTGCCTTGCTGATGGCTGCTGTAACTGCAGACTGGTGAGGGAATATGCCTCATTTTGCGTACTTCTGTTTCCCTTCATCCTGTTCCTCCAAACCCCATCCCATTGCCTCCACTGCAGCAGGATCCCACCCCCTTTCTGCTACCTGAGCCCCTTTAGGAAAGATTCCTAAATGCTGTCCCTGGGTCAGGCTTCATGCCAATGCCTTTCACACTAAAGTGGAGAATAGAATGATTGGGCTTCCTGAGGACACAGTGCAGTATGTGGATGCCAGATTGGATACTTAAGGCCAGGAAGTGGTGGTGATAAGAGTAGAGGTCTGACCATTACCATCCTTCAAGTGTGGAGAGGAGTATGGGAGATGAGTGGGAGGCTGAAGAGGGAATATATCATTTGTATGAGTGCAGGGAGGATATGTGGGTCCAAGAGAAAAATTAGTGCACTAGTCAATTGGCTATATCAGGACATAGGTTTCTGTTGATGGAGAAATGTGGGAATGAATGAAGGAGCAAAGGAAAAAAACAATAGTTGGTAGAAAATTCCATGCATGCGGTGAAGGTAAGCAAGGAGCTCATGATAGGTTGAAAATGTAGGGAAACCTATCAAGTGGTTGTATGGAAGAGGCAATATGTGAGTGAGGCTTCATTGGAAGGATGCTACCTGAGGAAGAAGGTCAAGATGACAGTCAGGGATAGCCATGGGGAAAGAAGGGAGGGAAAATTGTAAGAGTGAGCAGGATGCAGAACAAGCTACCAGCCACATCACATAGTCCTTTTCAAGGACAAAGCAAGTAAAATTGGGGTAGTGGTTTGTATGCCAATTCTCACCTCCACTTTTGATCCTGAACCATGAAACTCAAAGACATCTGCTATGTCCTCTGCCCCTGCAACTTCAAATGTACCATAGTGAGTAGTACTGGCCCCATGGGGGACTGAACTTAACCCCACAAAAGGTATAGTGTTCTGCATGGTATCAATACCCAAATCATGGTGAAAAGTACATCTGCCTCTTCTAGGCCTGCTAGTGTCAGAACTGTGCATTGTTCTTGTGACTTTAGTGTCTGGTAAAAGGAGAAGCCAGGCCTTTTCTACATATGACAACTGTATCATTCTGTCCCCTTTAGGGAACACCGCAAGAAAATATCTTCTCTAAGTATTCCCAGAAGGGAGCATCGTGAAGAGCGAAGGAGGAAGCAGGGATCAAGATCAAAAAAGATTATGGCTTCCCAATCTCATATGCCTGTCAAGAGGCTTGCCATTGAAGCAAGTGCCCTCAGTGAGTGTCTCTGGATAGGGAGGAAGCCTGAGTTTGGGCAGAGGAAGTGTGAGTGATTCTATCATTAGTCCTACCAGTGTTTCCTCGGGCAAGTACCTGTGTGTGATCTTAGTATGTCTGTGTAAAAACATCATATTAATGTTAGCTACTAAGGGTTATTAGGATGGAGAGATTCAGAGAGTCATAGACAAATTTGGTAGCACAATGGACCTCAGGATAAGGGGTGGAGTATGTTGGGATGATAAGGAGGTGGAAGAAAAACCATTACCTAAGTTGTTCCTGGTCTTTTACAGCTGGGATGGAGAGCACTATGTCTCAGCCTGGGACCAGCACTTGCATAACTCTCCAGGAGGTAAGGGGAATATGTCTGTCACCAATGGGACAAGTTCCTCTCCCCAGGCTCTTAGAGATCTCCCATTGTGTCCCAATGACACAGGTTCAATCTCCCACTGTACATAGTATTTGCAATCTGGCTTTCTGGAAAATGACTTCTCCATTGGACCTCAGTATCTGTCAGAAGACCTGGGCTAGTCTTCCAAATTTTGACAGGCTGGGCTCCTGATTATACTCTAAACATGCCCATCCAGATTCTCTCCCTGGCTGTCCTGGTACCACAGGTTTTTCCTCTGTGATCCCTGCCCCTGTAGGAGAGCTCCCAAAGGCCTCTGATGCTCAGCTTGCCTCCAGCAACTTCATCTCTGCCATATACTCCAGGGACCTTGGAGAAGGAAATGTCAGTTTCTCATTCTGGGGAACTCTATGGGCCTCCTACTCTGCCCATCATGTGAGTAGAACTAAACCATAGAATCACTTGTGTCTTCTATTATTGTATATCTAACCTTGAGCTTGTTTCTTTGAGAGGTAGGAGGAGGAGAATGAGATAGGAGAAGAAGACAGCACCTCAGACTAATGGGGAAAGATAGGTGTCTCTGCCCTGATATTTCCTATTGATAAGACTTTAGACCTGTAGCTTTATGTTTTCTGATCCTCTGATTCTCAGTGGGCATGCAGGAAAAATATTTTACTCCTATAACACTGAAAAGACTACTGGCACAAGACCTTATGGGAATTTTTATTTCACATTAATAACCATGGAAAAGAAAGTCCTGCTCAAAAGTAGGATCATGATGGTGAGGGACATAGAAGCCCAGGGGAAAGTCTATAAGTTATTAGAGGAAGCTTCTTGAGTATGAGCCATTCTCATCCATGGAGACCTTGGGAAAGAGCCAATTGGAGGTAGTGTCTCATCCTCAAAAGTGGAAAGTAATCACATCTTTCCAGATACATTGCTGATCAGAACCAGGATTCTGTGATATTGTTGTGATATTCTCGTAAGGAAAAGCTGGTAGAAATTGATATCTTGGGAAAGATGCAGAGAAGGAAGATACAGAATTGAAACAGATCAAGGAGGAGAAAGTACTTGCCCTAACAAGAATTAAGGACTCAGCAGTCACTTAGATTACTACATCCTGATGTTATGAATCGATGACCTTCATGATCTCTCTTAATTGTACATATCTCCCAGAGGGTTTAATCCACTGGCTTCTCCTTTCATTGTTTCCAGAAGCTCAAGTCTGATCTATCCATCTTATGGCAGTTCTGACTCTCTTCTGATGCAGCCACAGGTACTGGAAGGAATGGGGACCAAAAACTTGGAGAAGAGCTTTGTTGATGGGAGGTACAGAAGGATATGGGGGTGAATGGCAGATTGAAGTAATGGAGACTGAGGTGCCCTTGTCTCCGCAGGAGAACGTGTAGTTCCCCAGCCACCATTCTCTCATATCCTTTCCTTTGTAGGTCCCTAATGCCTCGGACCAAGCTTCTGTTTCTGCTGCCTTAGAGTGGCAGCAGATGATGGAGGCTGCCGAGGCTCTCCTGGCCCTGAAAAACTCTTCTCGGGCTGCTGCCAACTCCAAGTTATGTCATCAGCCCTCCAGCCCCCCAGGTACATTGCTCCTTGTAGGACTAATACAAGGTCGGTTGGGTAATTGGGAAATAGGAGGAGGAATGTTGTGGTAACCTGGTTCTGGCTGAAAATTGGGATTGTTGTGTTGTACCTTGGAGTCAGATACTAATTTCCTGAATCTGACTCATGAGCTGGAACTTGAGAGTTGTTCAGTGAGACTTCATTTTCTTATGTTTTCTGCCCAATACTCAAATGGTCAGTCTCCTGGTGACAAAGAATAATGGAACTGAGGCCCCCTGAGGCTGTCAAGGCATGCATCATATAAAATAAAAAACAAAGTCTTTGGACCCCTAGGCCACAACCTGCTCCTCAGATCTCTTCTGTATACTGTGAGCTGAAGAACTTACAGAGGGCTTCATTTGCACGAGTTCAGATTCCTGCTCCCTAGGAGAGTTTTGTCTTGAGGAGGGGCCTAGATGTCTTCCCAAGCAGTGTTTCACAAAAAAATGTAACGTGTGGAGAGAGGAAGGGCTGTAGGAATTGAAAGGAGAGGTGAACACTTAGGGAATCTGGGGCAGGAGGTTGGGCATTGTGGCACTGAAAAAGTGCTCTCTACCCAGAGAGTAAAGAAGCCCCACCAAGTGACTGCTAGAAAGGTGGCTGAAGCTGGAGAAGTTGCTGATCACAGTGGTCTGAGAAGGTGAGTATAGGAGGCTAGGCTACCCCCTGTGTGTAGTGCAGATCAAAGCATGTTCCTGATATAAGGAGGAGCATATGAAGAGACCCTGGGCTTGACCAAAAAACATTCAATGGCTGGGATGGAAGACATAAGACTGGCTGAGGAGAAATCAGATGAGAATAGATCGTTATAGTGGTCTTAGTGGAAAATATCTGATTATGTGAGACAGAATAAAAAAAGAAGGAAGAGCTGAGATGGGTTTGACCTGTAGGTATGACTGTCTGTTTCCCTCTTCCTTTCTGTCTGCAGGTTCTGCTGGAGATATTGGACTGGAGCCTTCCAGCCCTTGTGCAAGATCCAATTCGCCCAACTCTGTTTCAGTGCCTATTGGCCATCTGGGCTACATCTCCCTGTTAAACTAAGAGCCCAGAGGAAGAGGCATCGCTAGAGCACTGCCTATTTGCTACCCTGTTTCTGAATATGCGAAGTAGTTTGTGTTCAAAATGCTTAACATGCTTTTTAAGCTTTCAGGTGTTTTATAAGCTTTCAGACCCTTTTGTAGGGCAATTCTTTCACTGAAGTTGGATATTCTTGTAACTCCATCCCTTGTTTCTTTGGAAGCTGAGGCCTTTTTATGTGTCTTATAAAAACAGCACTGTGCAATCTAATATGATCAGTCTTAGTGGGGTTCTGAGTGGGTTTGTAAGCCAGTGTGTTCATTTGTCCTCTCATTGCACCTGTACACTTCTGTACTTATCCATGCATGTTTTCACTTTGTGTCTACATTGTGTGTTTGTGTGTGTGTGTGTGTGTGTGTGTATGTGAACAAATAATAAACTCTTGTTGTTGTAAGGCACTGAGAATTACTGGTTGTTTATTTCCGCCTTGAAACCTTGAATATCCTGACCTCTTAACAGATTATTTGATTCATATTCCAAACTGAGTCACCTCACTCCATATCTAGAATTTGATATGACTAATAAGAAAATGGTAGAGGTGGAAATAGGATATTTATTCAATGTGGAATTTCATGTCTATCCTTGCAGTGCCTCATGATCAAGAAGATCAGGTGAACAAAGAAGGCCAGATGGTCCCTAGCCCATGACAATGCATAGTCTAAGGACTCAGCTGTTGCTTGGCTCTAGCCATTTGCTACCATGGAAGAAGCAGGGCCCATCATCGCCAAGATGAATTTATGGAATCCTAGGTTTTTAAGTAAACTTACTCAATTTGTAACAAACAGCACAGATTTCTTTAAGCCCTGTACTGTATATGAAACAAACAAGAGAAGTACAACTTCAGTGAAAAGCCAGAATAATTTCTAGTTCAACTTGAATTAAAGTGGGTGAAGCCCAGGCTAATCAGAGGGAGGATCAGAGTGGGAAGTCTTACCTATAAAACACCCCTGAAATATGAAGAACACTCACTATATTTGTTTATTCTGTGAGTGTTATGTGCTAACCACTCACAGAATTACAACAATCTCAAGGAAAGAGATTTGCAGAAGAATTTTGAGGGACATTTTTAGGAACACATAGGGAAGATTGCCTTGTCTTTGCCAGGCGCTTTGTCAACTATTCATTGCTGCTGCTGCTGCTGCTGCTACTACTACTACTAGTAATAGTAGTATTTTATAAATTATCAAAGGAAAGTTTTGAAACTCTAGGCTGCCAAAATCACAAGACTGTTACAAAAGCATGTAACCTTGATTTCCTGCCTGAAGGGATCATAGGTAGTAAGCCATCCAATCTTGTAGGTGTATTTGTGTTTCTCAGTCCTCTGCAGGTACTGCAATAATTGAAGAATCAAAATCCCCAACCAAGTAAACAGAAAGCTCCAAATGCCTGGACAGATTCTTCCATGTTGTCACAGCCCTCTTTTTCCTGCCACCCCTGAGAGATGATAAAGAAATCCAATTACTATAATTTCTTCATTCCTTATTTTCCAAAACCTTGAGAAATCAGGATTCTTATGTTCTCTACCTGATGGCAGAGAAACATACAAAATCATGCAGGACTTGGAGCAGATGTGAATTCCATTCCATACCTGCTCTTTGCCTGACCTGTTACAATGATAGAAGATCCCAAAATCCCTCCTTCCCTAGCAACACATGAAAATGACCCCCTGTCCTTTGGGAAGGAAGTGGAAAAAGGACTAAGACACTGCTATATAAAAGTCCCAATGTAGCATATTTTAAACATCTTAGGACACCTTGATATATGTTCAGGATCAGCTTTTAGATGTATGTTTCTTTGTTACATATTATTCCAGTTCACAAGTTAAAATGCCATAAAAATGAACACTGTAAGTTAAATATTGATGCTTGTTGAGTGACAGCACTGGTTAGATCTGAGAATATCCACCATTTGTTGTGGATCAATTTCATGCAGTGATATGCAGGTAGAGGGTTAATAGGGTCTCTGGAGGAAGGAGAGCATGAGAGGAAAAGCCCCATGTTCTATCATTTACTGAGTTTAAAAATCTAAGTGTGGTCAATGAATGCTGACCTGAAAAGATAGATTTCCATCATTCTAACACAAGTGTTATAATTAACCTCAAGATCATAAACTAAAATAATGATATGTAAGAAAATAAGTTTTGATTAACTTTGAAAATACGCTATTTCAAAGAGTGCATGTAATTTATTATAAACTAAAGCTTTTAATAATGGCTCACAAAACTCTGAATATTTATCTGTCAACACATTTGGTCCAGGGAGAGACAGCTGTAGCTTATCACTGCTGAAGTAGGTGTCACTAACTGCATGACCATTAAGGACAGTGACTACTGGTTTCTAACCAACAACTTAAAATATGGGCAAAAGAATTGCTTTTCACAAAAAATGAGTGATTTAGGACAAATCTTGAACAGAATGAGTAATTTAAAAATATTAGCAAGGTGCCAGTGGCTCACAGTTTTAATCCTAGCTACTCAGGATGTTGAGAGCTGAGGATTATGGTTCAAAGCCAGCCTTCACAGAAAAGTCTGTGAGACTTTTATCTCCAATTAACCATTAAAAACCAGAAGTTGAACTGTGGCTTAAGTGCTATAGCACTATCTTTGAGCACAAAAACTCAGGGACAACACCCAAGCCCTGAGTTCATGTCCCATACCAGCACAAAAATGTTTATGTTAGAATATGCATTGCTGGAGGAGGCCAAGATAGGTAGATGTGGCACCAGAAGTAGCCATGCTCATACAGGGGACACACTTACAAATTTTCTTACAGATTAAGGGAACACAAATAAACAGTGTTACTTGCCCATGGCAGCAGTTTATCTCATTAGACAAAAATTCCTTATTGTCACTCCTCTCAGACAAATGCTGCTTAATATATGTTAGCTTCTTTTGCCATTTTTCGCTTTTCACTTTAAAATAAGTCATTGGGACTACTTGCTCACCAAGTTGAAAACATGGTTACTTTAGGAAGTGTATGTAGTATACAAAAAGTGTGCATGTAGTGAAGAGCTTAAAATAAATAAATAAATAAATAAATATATAATTACTAATAGAACAACAAATGTCCATGAGTTCCCTTACTAGTGCTATGCAGAGACATCCCTCATTCCTTGCAGCAGCAAGAAAATAGCTATTCACTCTGTGGACTTGGTGGCTCTATACTTGTTTGGGGTTTTTTAACTGTATTTTTTGTCTTTTCTTTTTTGGTACTGGGGATCAAACCTAGGAAGTTACACTTGCTAGGTTTGCACTACTGAGCTACATTTCAGCTCTTGGTGACTCTATTCTTGCTATTACAACCATGTCTACAGGAATTGTAACATTTATCACCTTTAGGAATATTGTAGTACTCTGTGTTTGGAATCTATTCCTGGATGGGCAATTGCTGCTTAACTGGTGAAAAGAAAACTTATATTGCTTATTACTGTCAGATTTTCCTTAAGAAAGATACAGATGGTATTCCCCATAATTATGTAAGAGAAAAAAATTTTCTGTACCTCACAAAAAGAGAAGCACCAGCCAGGTGCTGGGGGCTCCTGCCTGTAATCCTAGCTCCTCAAGAGACTGAGATCTGAGGATCACAGTTCAAAGCCAGCTGGAGCAGAAAAGTCCCCATTAGATTCTTACCTCTAATTAACCAATGGAAGTAGAGCTGTGGTTCAAAGTGGTAGAGTGCTAACCTTGAGCAAAAGTGCTCAAAGACAGTGCCTAGGGCCTGAGTTCAAACCCCACAACTGCCCCAAAAAAAACAAGGAAGAAAAATAGAAGCACCAGACTTTTCAATTATTCCATCTCATAGATGAAAAACAAGTGATCTATCAGTGTGTATGTTAACTTGCATATCTCTTGGATTGTGTATGCGTGTGTGTGTGTGTGTGTGTGTGTGTGTGTATGCTCATCCTGGGGCTTGAAATCTGGACCTGGGCACTGTGCTTGAGCTTTTTTACTCAAGGCTGGTGCTCTAATACTTGAGCCACAATGAGCTATACCTCCAGCTTTTTGGTGGTTAATTGGAGATAAGAGTCTCACTGACTTTCTTACCTGCATTGCCTTCAAACTGCAATGCTCCTATCTCATCCTCCTGAGTACCTAGGATTATAGACGTGAGCTACCAGTGACCAACGTATCTCATGTGAAGTGTGTGTGTGTGTGTGTGTGTGTGTGTGTGTGTGTGTGTGTGTGTGTGCATATATCAGTCCTGGAGCTTGAACTTGGGGACTGGGCACTGTCTCTGAGTTTTTTTATTGCTCAAGGCTAGTTCTCTACCACTTGAGCCACAGCTTCACTTCTGGCTTTTTGGTAGTTAGTTGGAGAGAAGGGTCTTATAGACTTTCCTGCCAGGACTAGCTTTGAACAGTGATCCACAGATCTCAGCCTTCTGAGTAGTTGTGATTGAAGGTGTGAGCCACTAGCACTTGGATATCTCTTAGTTTAAACCAGGTTACAATTCTTTTTTTTTTTTTTTGTCGGTTGTGGGGCTTGAACTCTGGGCTTGGGCACTGTCCTTGTGCTCTTCAGCTCAAGGTGAGCACTCTACCACTTGAGCCACAGCACCACTTTCAGAATTCTAGTGGTTTTGTATTAGAGATGAGAGTCTCAGGGAGTTTCCTGCCTGGGATGGCTTTGAACCGTGATGCTCAGATCTCAGCCTCCTGAGTAGCTAGGATTACAGGTGTGAGCCACCGGTGCCTGGCTTCAGATTAAAATTCTTGTACAAATAGTCAAGAGCCTTTTTGTTCCAATACCAGGGAAACCTAAATGCCTTGCATCTTCTCTAGCTTGCTTTACTATTTGAGCCCAGATTTTTAAGACATGGGATATTTCATACTTTCCTGCCCCAGCTGCCTTTAAACTGAGATCCTCAGATCTCAGCCTCCTGAGTATCTAGGATTACAGTGAACCACCAGCACCTAGCCATTTTGTTTTTCTTTTGTGCTTATATTTTGGTCAAGGTTCCATTGGA